GAATTTGTTTCTATTCATTCCCCACCTGGATTCTGCTCCCTGGAGACTATTGTACTGTTGCAAAACGCCAAGCTTGGCAGAAGTTGTGTTTTCCTCATAGGAAGGAGCATTGCTAAATCTCTCAAAGTAAGTATTGTTTTCTCTCCAAAGGGCAGTATCTAATTCTTTGTAAAAACTCTTTCTTGCTTAAACTTAGTTCAACATGAGTCAAGACAAAAATCAGCAATTAAATCAGAGTTAAACAAATGTCAGTTTGAATACACTTCCCGCACTATTAAAACTTAAAGCAACTACAGCAGAAACTGTACTCATGAGATTAAAAATTTTAAAAATGAAAGCATTGTAGTAAGCTTTCTAAAATATCTAAATATAAGTCAATTTTCATTGCTACATCTGATCAATCCTGATATACTTTAAAAGTTTCTCTATTGCAGTATATTTATGCATATATACACATACATACATACATATATTATATATACACACATACACACACACACACACACACACACACATACACAAAATGCTTATTTCCTAAGTGTATGGCTGGATTAATTTTCAAATGCTAAAAATTTGGTGTGACCAGCATCCAGACCAAGAAACAGAATGCTCCCCAGTCCGTAGAAGCCTCTCTTGTGCTTCCTTCATATCTGGGGTACTTTTATAGTTACATGATCTTTTCTTAATGTATTGTCATTCAATATTAATTAGGGCACACATTTGAACAGAACTGTTTTGATTATACTCCAATTTCTAGTGACTACTTAGAGCGTAAGACCTCAAAGGTTTTATACCAAGATCTAATGTAACAGACAAAAGAACATCCTTTAAAAAGGTGATATTCGTGACACATTCACGTCATTCATTCCCTTGTTTATTCAACCAATCATGCCTTCATTCAAAGGTTTATTGGTTATCTATTATGCAACTGGACCTGTGTAAGGCAATGAGATAGGGATAAGACACAGTTTGCCTATAAGGAGCTCAAAATCTAGGACAAGAGAAAGATATTGGAACAAGTAATTATGACATAATACAGAGTGATATATATATAGCATCATGAAAGTATAGAGGAAGGGTATCCAACCAAGCCTGAGCTAGCGAAAGAGTCAAAGAAAGCTTCCTATGTTTGACTATTACAAACATCCAGATAAATGGGATAACACACAGGATTTATTAGGATAAAGGTTAAGCAAGTAAAAGGAAGAGGGGCATTTTGGCAGGAAAAAACAATATGAGTGACATGGTTTGCATGTGTGTCCCCTACACAGCTCATGTTGCAATGTGATCCCCATTGTTGGAGGGGCGGCCTTATGGGAGGTGTTTGGGTCATGGAAGTGGGACCCTCACGAATGGCTTGGTGTCGTCCTGGCGGTAATGAGTCCTCACTCTATCAGTTCATACAAGAGCGCCTTTTCTTACCATGTGACAAGCCTGCACCCCTTCATCTTTTGCCACGAGTTAAAGCTTTCTAAGGCCTCATCAGAAGCCAAGCAGATGCTAGTGCCATGCTTGTACAGCTTGTAGAAGTGTTAAGCCAAATAAACATGTTTTCTTTATAAATTATCCAGCCTCAAGTATTCCTTTATAGCAATGCAACATGGACAACACAATGAGTAAAGTGCAGAGTGGAAAAAAAACACAACATGGTGGGTGTAATGAACTCCAAGGTGTACCAGGCTGCAGGGGATCAGGTTATAAGACAGAGTCAGTGGAATGAGACCAGAGAGGTCAGCAGGGTATTGGAGGTTGAGTGAGAAATAGGAAGGTGATATCTTCTGTGAGTGAAGGACAGTAGGGGCTAAATAATCCAAGGCTGGAGGTGACAGTCCAGATTGGCTGAAGCTGCTGGTAGGTTATTACTGGAATTACGGAGATGTAGAAAAAAATACAAGGCCAGATTGCTGAATAGGCTGTCTACATGGACTTGAAATAGAGAATTATGGCAAGATCTGTGGTATAGAGGAAGACAGAGAATTAGGTGCCAGTTGTTAATACTGTATCTGATGAAACCTTATGCTGTTTAATGTTTCAGGGGAGTGAGAAAACCCTTACAGAAGAGAGAAGTAGAGTACTGAACCCAAAAGGCTGCTTAAAGCTGTATTTTATTACAGAGGCTAAAGCATTTACTTTCCACAGCTACCCTATCAACTCATGTTGTCTTAATAATATGTTACTGGAATATTTACAATCCTTACTTTTCAGAAGCACAATACCTTTTCTCCTTCCTCTAACAGACGCAGTAAGGTAGCATTATCTGTTTTCTCCTCCTCTTCTATGGAGCTGCCCTCGGCAATCTGGTCTTGTAGCTGCTCCTGGTTCTCCTCATCTCCTCCATCAGGTGCAGATCGGGAGCGTTTTAGAGGAGGCTTGACCAAACCTACAGTATAATAACCAAGAGGGCCATGTGGCATTGCAAGGACCTTGTGCGGAAGCAGTTTAGTCTCATGTAGTCCCTTCTACAGATATCCAATTTGAGACAATTCTGGAAGGTATAGGGAGGTAGCACATTCAGTGGTTAAGAACATAGTCTGCTGGAGTTAATGACCTTGGAAAATTATTCAACTTTCTGAACCTTAGTTTCTTATCTAAAAAACTGGGACAAGAGCCAGGTATGGGCAATATAGCAAGACTCTGTCTTAAAACAACAACAACAACAAAAAAACACCTGGTACAAGTACAGTATCTTCTTAGAGGATTGTTGGACTACATTAGGTAATTCATGTGAAGTGCTTAGCATTATGCTTAATACATAATAAATTCTCAGTAAGTGTCAGGTGATGATGATAACAGAACGCTATAATAGTAAGAATGGTGTAGCTTAGGTAGGTGTCATTAAGGGGACACCATGAATAAATAATCAAGTATTGTCACAAAAATAAAGATAGCAAACTATAAACATGATTATGACTGGGTGCAGTAGCTCATGCCTATAATCACAGCACTTTGGGAGGCCAAGGTGAGCCGATCACCTGAGGTCAGGAGTTTGAGACCAGCCTGGGCAACATTGCAAAACCCTGTCTCTACTAAAAATAAAAATATTAGCCGGGTGTGGTGGTGCATGCCTGTAGTCCCAGCTACTCAGGAGGCTGAGG